ACTGTCACTGTTTGCAGATGACATGATCCTATACATAGAGAACCCTAAAGATGCTACCAGAAAACTACTAGAACTAATCAATGAATTTGGTAAACAGGATAATAAATTAATACACAGAAATCTCTTGCATTCCTATACACTAATGATGAAAAATCTGAAACAGATATTAAGGAAACACTCCCATTTACCATTATAACAAAAAGAATAAAGTACCTAGGAATAAACCTACCTAAGGAGACAAAAGACCTGTATGCAGAAAAGTATAAGACACTGATGAAAGTAATTAAAGATGATACAAACAGATGGAGAGATATATCATGTTCTTGGATTGGAAAAATCAACATTGAGAAAATGACTATAATACCCAAAGCAATCTACAGATTCAATGCAATCCCTATCAAAATACCAAAGGCATTTGTCACAGAACTAGAACAAAAAATTTCACAATTTGTATGGATACACAAAAGACCCCGAATAGCCAAAGCAATCTTGAGAACGAAAAAAGGAGCTGGAGGAATCAGGCTCCCTGACTTCAGACTATACTACAAAGCTACAGTAATCAAGACAGTATGGTACCAGCAGAAAAACAGAAATATAGATCAATGGAACAGGATAGAAAGCCCAGAGATAAACCCACACACATATGGTCACATTATCTTTGATAAAGGAAGCAAGAATATACAATGAAAAAAGATAGACACTTCAATAAGTGGTGCTGGGAAAACTGGAGAGCTATATGCAAAAGAATGAAATTGGAACACTCCCTAACACCATACACAAAAATAAACTCAAAATGGACTAAAGACCTAAATGTAAGGCCAGACACTATCAATCTCTTAGAGGAAATCATAGGCAGAACACTCTGTGACATAAATCACAGCAAGATCCTTTTTGACCCACCTCCTAGAGAAAGGGAAATAAAAACAAAAATAAACAAATGGGATCTAACGAAACTTCAAAGCTTTTGCATAGCAAAGGAAACCATAAACAAGACCAAAAGACAGGCCTCAGAATGGGAGAAAGTATCTGCTAGTGAAGCAACTGACAAAGGATTAATCTCCAAAATATACAAGAAGCTCATGCAGCTCAATATCAAAAAAACAAACAACCTAATCCTAAACAGACATTTCTCCAAAGAAGATATATAGATTTGCCAACAAACACATGAAAGGATGCTCAACATCACTAATCATTAAAGAAATGCAAGTCAAAACAACAATGAGGTATCACCTCACACTGGTCAGAATGGCCATCATCAAAAAATCTACAAACAATAAATGCTGGAGAGGGTGTGGAGAAAAGGGAACCCTCTTGCACTGTGAGTAGGAATGTAAATTGATAGAGCCACATGGAGAACAGTATGGAGGTTCCTTAAAAAACTAAAATTAGAACTACCATATGACCCAGAAATCCCACTATTGGACATATATCCTGAGAAAAGCATAACTCAAAAAGAGTCAGTACCCAATGTTCATTGCAGCACTATTTACAAAAGCCAGGACATGGAAGCAACCTACGTGTCCATCAACAGGTGAATGGATTAAGAAGATGTGGCAAATATGTACAATGGATTATTACTCAGCTATAAAATGAAATGAAATTGAGTTATTTGTAGTGAGATGAATGGACCTAGAGTCTGTCATACAGAGCGAAGAGAAAAACAAATACCATACGCTAACAACGTATATATGGAATCTAAAAAAAATCTTAAAAAAAGAATGGTTCTAAATAACCTAGGGGCAGGACAGAAATAAAGACACAGATGTAGAGAATGGACTTGAGGAGACGGGGAGGGGAAGCATAAGCTGGGATGAAATGAGAGAGTGGCATTGACATATATACACTACCAAATGTAAAATAGATAGCTAGTGGGAAGCAGCCGCATAGCACAGGGAGATCATCTAGGTGCTTTGTGACCACTTAGAGGGGTGGGATATGGAGGGTGAGAGGGAGACGCAAGAGTGAGAGGATATGCAGATACATGTATACATATAACTGATTCACTTTGTTATACAGCAGAAACTAACACAACATTGGAAAGCAATTATACTGCAATAAAGATGTTTAAAACAAAAAAAAAAGTCTACAAAGAACAAATGTTGGAGAGGACGTGGAGAAAAGGGAGCCCTGTGCACTTTTTTGGGAATGTAAATCAGTTTAGCTCTATGGAAAACATTATGAAGTTTTCTCAAAAAATTAAAAATAGAACTACCATATTATCCAGCAGTTTCACTCCTGGTATATATCTGGAAAAAATGAAAACACGAATTCAAAAAGATACTTGCACCCCAATGTTCATAGCAGCAATATTTACAATAGTGAAGACATGGAAGCAACCCAAGTGCCCATCAACAGACGAATAAAGAAGATGTGAAATATATATATAATGGAGAATTCCTCATCCATAAAAAGAATGAAATTCTGCCATTTGCAGCAACATGGGTCGACCTAGAGAATATTATGCTCAGTGAAATAAGTCAGAAAGAGAAAGACAAATACTGTATGATATCACTATATGTGGAATCTAAAAATTAGTATAAATAAATGTATATGCAAAACAGAAACAGAGTCACAGATGTATAAGACAAACTTATGGTTACCAAAAGGGAGAAGGAAACAGGGAGGGACAAATTAGGGATATGGGATTAATGGGTACAAACTACTATGTATAAAATATATAAGCAACAAGGATACATTGTACAGTACATGGAATTATACCCATTATCTTGTCCTAACCTATAATGGAATATAATCTGCAAAAATACGGTATCACTGTGCTGTACACTTGAAACTAACATAATATTGTAAATCAACTATACTTCAATTAAAAATAAATAAATTTTAAAAAAATTTAAAGGAAAGATCAAACAAATAAATGGTGTTGGGAAAACTGGACAGCCCCATGCAAAAGAATGTAACTAGACCACTATCTTACACCATACACAAAAATAACTAAAAATGGATTAAAGAATTGAATGTAAATCTGAATCCATAAATCTAAAAGATGTAAACTTAGGTGTTAAGCTCCTTGAGCTCAGTCTTGGCAATGATTTTTTGGATCTGACTCCAAAAGAAAATACAACAAAAGCAAAAATAAGTAAATAGGACTACATAAAACTAAAAACTATACAGCTAAGGAAATCATTAACAAAATGAAAAGGCAACATACTAAATGGGACAAAATAATTACAAATCATATATTTGATACAGGGTTAATATTCAAAATATATAAAGAACTCATACAACTATTTAGCCAAAGAACAATCTCAAGGAAAAATGCACAGAACTTAAATAGACATTTTTCCAAAGAAATCATACAGATGACCCACAGGTACATGAATAGATGCTCAACATAACTAATCATCAGGGAAATGCAAATCAAAATTATACTGAAATACCATCTCAAACCTGTTAAAACGGCTATTATCTAAAAGACAAGAAGTATAATAATAAGTATGGATGAGGTTATGGAGAAAAGAGAACACTTGTGCACTCTTGGTGAGAATGTAAATTAGTGCAGCCACTATGGAAAACAGCATAGAGGTTCCTCAAAAAATAAAAGTTAAACTACCATATAATCAGGCAATTTCACTTCTGGGTATATATCTGAAGAAAACAAAAACGCTAACTTGAAAAGATATATGCACCAACATGTTCACAGCAGCATTATTTTAGAAAGTCAAGATACGGAGTTGAATGGATAAAGAATATATAGATGAATGGATGAATGGATAAAGAATATATATACACACAATAGAATATTATCAGTCATAAAAAGAATGAAATCTTGCCATTTGCAACAACATGGATGGACCTTGAGAGCATTAGGCTAAGTGAAATAAATGAGACAGAGAAAGACAAATACCCTATGATATCATTTATATGTAGAATTTAAAATAAAAAGAATCTTAAACAACAAAAACTAAGCATATAGATACAGACTACAGATTGGTAGTTGCCAGAGGCAGGGGGTGGAGGGTGGGAGAAATTAATAAAGATATAATTTATAGCATGTTGACTATAGTTGATGATACGTATTGTGTATTTGAAAGTTGCTAAACAAGTGGATCTTAGAAGTCTTCATCACAAGAAAAAAATTTACAACTATGAACAGTGATGGATGTTAACTAGACTTATTGTGGTGATCACTTCACAATATATACAAATATCGAATCACGCTGTACATCTGAAAATGTTATATGTCAATTATACCTCAATCTATAAAAAAGAGCCAATTTCACTCATTCTTCAGTCCCTTGATAGCTTTAAGAGGAAGTATCAATTTCCTTATGTCTGCAATGACTCTGTGTGGTAGCACAGTGTCCAGGAGAAAGAAGCTGGGAAAGTTATTAGACCTAGGCGGTAAGTTCCACAGTTTGTTCAGACCTCACAGGACATTGTCCTGTCACTCTAATGAAGGTTAATATTCAGAGATTGCCTAATTTCTAAGATCAAAAGGCAAAAGAGAGGGAAAAGGCATATCCATAATTGTTTACATTAGAAGTTAAAAAGAGAAATTACTCTTAAGTAAAGTGATTATTCATATCTTCATTTTGACTGAATTCAAATAGATCTTTGCGCCAACTTAGCCATCACAGTTATGATTGCCACTGCCCCTTACCCCACCCATCTTGTCTGAAACCCTTGAAAAGAAAATAACATAGGTTGAGTTCAATGAGTAATTTCAATATCTTTCATTCCTAAAGAGAATTGAGGTATAAATATGTACACCAAACTGCATATGAAGTGTACAGTACAGATGATATTTGACATATGCATAAACACAAAAAACTATCACCAAAAATAGAGATCATAAAACTATACATCACCCCCAAAATCTTCCAGGCAATCCTTCCTTGGCAATGCTTCTCTTCTATTCCTCCCTACTAGGCAATCATTGACTAATTTTCTATCATTATAGATTTGTTTGCATTTTCTGGCATTCTATATAAGTAAAATCATGATTACATACTCTTGCTTATCTGGCTTCTTTCACTCACTGTGATTATTTTGAGATTCATCCTGTTGCAGGCTGTATCATCATCAGTCCATTCATATTTACTGGTCAGTAGTACATTGCATTATTACATATTATGGCCATATTACATATTATGGATATACCATAATTTTCACATTCACCAGTTGATGGACATTTGGGTTCATTCCAGTTTTTCCTAGTAAAAATAAAATGGCTATGAATATTCATGTACAAGTCTCTGTATAGATATATGCATTTTTTTTCGCTTGGGTAAGTACTTAGGAATGGAATGTCTGGAACAAATTCTGGGCATATGTTAATCTTCTTAGGAAACTATCAAGATAACATTCAAAGTGGCCCTACTGTACCATTTTTAAATTTACCAATTTAAAACTATGCCAATTTAAAACTTAATATCAGCAATATATGAGAATTCCAGCTTCTGTGCAACTTTTTCAGCAGTCAATATAGTCATTCTTTTTAATCCCTGCCATTCAAATAGGTAAGTGGTAATATGTCACTGAGCTTTTGGGTTACATTTCCCTAAAAATTAATGTTTACATACATCTTTTCACAGTCTTATTTCCTATCTGTATATCTGCTTTAATGAATTATCTTTTCAAATCTTTTGTCCATATTTTTAAAAATTGGGTTATTTTCTTAATATTATAAGAATACAAGTCCTTTATTAGATATAAATTTTGAAAATATTTTTATTAGGCTGTGGCTTTTCATTCATGTAATAGTGTCTTTTGAAGAGCAGAGGCTTTATAATTTTGACAAAGTCCAGTTTCTAAATTATTTTATGTATTATTCTTTAGGTATTATATCTAAGACATGTTTGCCTTACATTAGGAAAAAATTGTTTTCTGCTAGAAATTTTTTAGTTTTAGTTTTTACATTGAGATCTATGACCGATTTTGAATTCATTTTTAAATATAGTGCAAGGTAGGGACTAAAGTTTAAAAAGATAGTTGTCCACATATGTGCAGGCTTATTTCTGGACTCAATTCTATTTCATGTTCTACTTGTTTATCTTTACACAAATACCACACTGTCTTGATTACTATAGCTTTACAAGCAGCCTCAAAATCAGGTCATGTTAATTCTCTAACTTTACTTTTCATTTCATTTTTCATTTCAAAATAGTTTTGACCAATCTAGGTCCTTTGCATTTCTATACAAATTTTACTACGAACTTGTCAATTTTTATGAAAGGGTCACTTGGGCTTTTGATTGGATGAAAATATATAATACAGTCATTGGATGGGACTGAATATATGTATTATATACATATAATAATATATAATTTGGGAGATTTGAAATCTTAATATTGAGTCTTCTGACCAAAAAACATAGTATATCTCAATATTTATGTCTTCTTTAATTACTCTTAGCAATTTTTTCTGTAGTTTTCAGTTGAAATATCTTACATATTTACATAATATACTTACATAAGTATCTGATAGTTTTCAGTGCTATTGTAAATTGTAATTTTTAAATTACAATTTTAGATTACAACTACTAGTATATAGGGAGACATTTGCTATTACCCTTCAACCTTGATTAACTTGCTAATAGTAGAGACTTTATTCACTTATTAGTTAAGAATAACTTGTAGCTTATTAGTTTTTAGTTTCTTTTTTGTAGATTCCATCAGAATCTACAAAAGCCCAAGTGAGGTATAGTCCTATTGAAAAACAATCTACCTGCCCTGCAGCAAACAGAAGGCTTCATCATGGACTTACCAGAGTCTGTTGGAACTTCCCTCCCATCAAGTGGATGGATTAAGGACATTCCCCAAACCAAAAAGTGCTTGTGCCCAAGTAATTGCACTGCAAAAGTGGCACACATACCTGCAACAACGTAGTGTGTACAACTCAAGCCTGCTGTCTGAAGAATTACATGCCCTCCATGGGCCAGTGTCTTATGTAGATCCGGACGTGGCTCCTTAGACATCACCCATCACTCCCCCTCTCAGCCAAGTCAGAGAGGGAACCAGGACCCCATGCCTCCCTCTGGAGCCATGGTTCACCAATGGCAGCAGTTGAGGCAATACCCTCACTAGACATGCTTCAACAGTTTTCCTGGATTCTGACATCACTTGGTTTGAAGAAGGTACTAAGCACAGCAATCATGGATGAACTGAGGGTGGTAAGGATTGTGATCACTCACAAGTCTATGCCCCTCTACATAGCCACAGACAGCTGGGCTGTACAGGAGGGTCTGACCATGGATGCCACAATGGCATCAGAAAAGCTTGACTATCTTGAGATGGCCCCTGTGGTGAACTGATACAGACAAACTGGGACGTGTGCACACAACCTGGTACCACCATCATGATATGGTATGTCTCAGCACATTCTCTAACTACACTGCCTGAGAATCACGAATCAGATGCCTTAGCCATGGTGACAGCTGTTCTGGAAGGGTCACAGACTCTCAGATGTGGCAGTGGCTTCATGGGAAGTCAGGACATCGAGGCCTCAGTACCACTTGGGAAGCCAAAAGGTTACACCTGCCTTTAAAATACAGTGACCTACAGGCAGTAGATAGGAACTTCCATCATTGTACCTGCAGTGTCAACCCCTGAGACACACCTTTGGTCATATCGGATGAGCTACTAGGCCAGTGACCAGATGGCAAGTGGACGATATTGGCCCCTGCCCTTAACAGAAGGACACAAGAATGCATTGACCTGTGTGGACCCAGCAATTGGGCTGACACAGACTTTTGCCAGTAAAAGGGCAAATCAAGTAACCACTATTAGGGGTTTGACCAAGTTGGAAAGTATTAGAGTGGAAAGTACTACCCACTTGCGTTGAAAGCAACCAAGGGACCCATTTCACTGGACATGACATACAAGAACGGGCTAAACCCTGCGAGATTTTATGAACCTTTCATCTGTCGTATAACCCCAGAGCTGCAGGGTTGGTATTAAGAATGAATGGGTTACTGAAAGAGACATTGAAGTTTTCTCCAGATGGGTCTTTAAGGGGATGATCTCCAAGACTATTAGAGGCCATCTGGCTGTTAAACACTGAGCCCACCACAGGCCACATATCTGCTTGTGAGAGACCGACTACACCTGCTCTGCAAGCTACTGTAAAAGTCTTAGGAGGACTGAGACTCATCCAACGGGATGCAGGTCTTAAAAGAGTGCCACAGGGGCTTCCCTGGTGGCACAGTGTTTAAGAGTACGCCTGCCGATGCAGGGGACACGTGTTCGTGCCCCGGTCTGGGAAGATCCCACATGCCGCGGAGTGGCTGGACCCGTGAGCCATGGCCACTGAGCCTGCGCGTCTGGAGCCTGTGCTCCGCAACGGGAGAGGCCACAACAGTGAGAGGCCCGCGTACCGCAAAAAAAAAAAAAAAAACAGTGCCACAGGACCTCCCACTTGGGGAGACTATCTAAGGTTGGAGACTTAAATGATATCCTCCTTCCAAGTGTCTTAGCATCCTTATACCTTGGAGGGAAGGGCTAGCCTGCAGCATACTATCAATATTTCCTCAACCTTTCTAAGTGAAGGCCCAGCCATAACCAAGGTGATCCAGATGGGGGACTAAAGTAGGGCTCCCCTTATGGGCTCCTACTTAAGTTCTCGCATGTATCTCCCAGCAAACTTCTGAAATAAAGGGACAAAATGTCTGGCATTTTCCTCCAGGAAAAGTGTCAAAACCTGGGGTGATCCTGGCACATGGAGACTGGACTGCTACCTAACCCTAATCACGTAGAGACATTTCTTTTGCATACACCTTCACCTGTTGGTTGACCTCCTTTCCTGGCAAATGGGGAACTGCCCTGTTAGGCATTATTCTTTATCTAGCAGGGATCCTTTGTACTTGGTGTTGTGTATATTGCTGTTGAGGTATAAGCATGCAGGCTACCTCCTGACATCTGGCCCTAGGGTATTTGCAGAAGAATAGTGGATAAGATTGTGCAGGTCATATAGATGTTAGGTATGAAATATGTGGCTGAGCCACACTGACTCCATTTTGTCAGCTCCATCTTAGGCCTGCAGTCCCACCCCCTTCCTTTTCCATGTGGCTGAGCTTTAGCCTAACTCACAAGGAACGTGCCTAAGTCAGATGAGTTCCCTATAAACTTTTACCCGTGCCTCATCTGATATGAAAACTAGAAGAATGCCTTTTACTAATGCAGATGGTTAATGGTCATGAGACCACCCCCCAGGGGGAGGAAAAACCGCTGGTTCCAGTTTGTGTGGACATGTTTCTCACTTGGTAGTCAGATTCTATTAAATTTCCCTGTATCCCTTTCGGTGGTACACAGTGCAGCTGCAAATGCCTCTGGATTTTCCGTCCACCACATCCTTTCTACCTGTAAGTTACCTACAGTAAACTTCATAATTGCACTGTATGGAACTGCCTACTGCGTTTTTTGGTCTCAAAGTTCCTTCTCAGTTCAGAGGATATTATTATATTATTATCTCCACCTCCCAACACAACACCCATTGCATGTGTGCAATAACGTATGGCCACATGTTCTTGCTTCGTTAGTAACTCTTGCTTCTCTATAATCTTTCCATAGTTTACTATTAAGCAACTATCTGGGAGTCACCATCTGCTCCTACATCTATCTCATTATGTCATCCACCTATAGCCTACATGTCTAAACTTAACTTTCTAATTATAACATGGCCATTCCTTTTAAATCTTACTAGTACCACAAAATTTATCAGTGCTTTTCGGAAACTGTATATCAGCAGTTGGTTTTTGATATCCCATCTTGCTCTCAATCCTGACTTATTTCTTCTATCATCATAGATTTCTTAGTTACCATGGCTGGTCATTCTTTGTATCTCCCGACATTATCTGGGTTAATATAAATAACCTCTGGGTTAACTGGTTCATGAAATGCAGACAAACTTTCTTTCAGTCCATTCGTTACTCAGTCTTAACTCCTGTAATTAAGAGGTAAGAAGAGTGTGGCATCACTCTCATGATGAGATATTAAGACAAATAAAATCCCGAAGTCCTGAGGAGCAAAGAAAAGGGCAATGATTCATTCATACTTCAATAAACACTAAAAACCAAAAATGTGGACTGTGAACTGAATCAGCTTGAGGCTCTTTTTCTGAGTGTTATTCTGGGTGTTATCACTTTTAACCAATCTGCATTTATATTGTTCCTAACATGAAAATCAAAAACATATAAAAAGGATTCTGATCTTATTTTATATACAATTGACAGACTAATAATTCATAAAAGACATTTTTACCAAGTAGCATGTATGATGCTTGCTACAGATGCTTTTAAGTTTAGGGACACCTCAACCAGGTGATCAGGATTAGCCTTTTCAGCGATCATTCATGTTGACAGCATATACTTTTAATATGATGAGAATGACATTTTATCTCTGTGGTCTTCCAACAAAAAACTTGTAACAGCAATGCAAATATAGAGCTATGAGAAAGCCAAAACTGAAGGATATCCTACAAAATACTTGACAAGTACTCCTCAAAACTGTCAAGGTAACAAAAACATGGAAGGTCTAAGAAACTGTCATAAACCGGTGGAAGCTAAAGAGACATGACAATTAAATGTAATGTGGCATCCTGAATGGGATCTTGGAATACAAACACATTAGGGGAAAAACCAGTGAAATCTGAAAAATTAGTGTTTAGTTAATAATGTATCAATGTTACTGGGTTATGACAAATGTACCAGAGTAATATAAAATGTTAATAATGGGAATTGGGTGAGCAGTATATAGGAACTATCCCTGTAACTTTTCTTTATATTTAGAACTATTTGAAGTTAATTTTAAATTTCTTAAAAAATGCTCCAGGTTAATTTTTTTGTCTATAATTTTCTGTAAAACTCAACCATGTAGAAAGATATGCTTTTTGACTATTATTTCCCTTTTTGGCATTGTGAAATAAGCTAAAGTTGCATCAAGGTGTCAGAGACTGAGGAGGGGCAAACATATTCTCTTAGTGGCTAGATCGCTCCTGCCACCACGAGTGCTGATCCAATCTCTTGTGTGCTAGCCCTGGTGGTATGATACAGCACTCATCGAATGGTGGACTCTTGATCCTGGATCTTTTCTTTGACAATGATGCCACTAAGTTAAGTGATAGCAACGCAGTGTCAAAGAAATGTCTATTATCCAATTAATGCTAAAGATATACCATCATTTTCCCTCACAAAGTATTAACATATATGGAATAGAAAATTCAGGGAATAAACTTATTGTCCTCATGCTCAATCTCCAGATAATATTTACAGAAAGCAACATGCCTATGGTAGAAATTCTTAGTGGTTCAGGTTTTAAAATGAGGATTTCATTTACTTTCTTTTCTGTGCTGACCAAACCATGCAGCTTGAAATGACAGCAGATTGATCAAATATTTTCTTGGCCAAGACTATAGTACATATATTGTTTCCCCAAAAGTAAGTCTGCTTTTCAATACCAGTGCAGTGCATATGACATGGAAGTAGTCCCTATTTTCATTCCAATTCCAAAAATATCAATGGTTTGCAATGCTGCAGTGTGAGCAAGCATCTTGAGATTGGAAAAAGACCCTAGACAAGATGCTCAGGCTACATGCATATAAGAGGACTTGCTTTATAATTACAAAATGAACCACAAGAGTGGCATAAAATGTAGGCCCCCAAACCTTTTAAGAATCAACACCCACCCCTCCCCCTAAACACACAAGAATGCTTGAGAAATCTGATGGATGTCCCAGAAAAACAAGGCCAGACTAATATTCAGACATAGCAGGCAGGCTATATTAGATACATATATATGGCATCAAGCTTTTAGAGCAAAGCCAACAGAAGGACACAGACTGTCACTCAAAAAAAGGAAAGGAACAGTCCAGAGCAGGTTTGGCTACTGCCTTCTACTAGAACTCACCAGCAATAATGAATCCTCTGTTACACAGACTCATACAGATGTACCACATAGCTCGGAGACTAGTCAAATATTTATTGGTGTTGTCCACAGAATTCAAGTTATCCCTCCATCTCAAAAACTTCACATTACATAATAAGTTTGTGTACAGGAAAATATATTCTTATATAGTTTCTATAAAACTTGATATTACATATAAAACACAAATTTTGGTACATCAGTTCTGAGAATTTTATTTTCAATTCTGAAACTCATACATTCCCTCAGAAAAAATTTATCTGAAGCAAACTCAGTAATTGTTTAAAAATGTCATTTATCAAAATATAAGATTTTAGTCTCATCTTAACTATTTGATGTTTAAAGAAGTTTACTCTGCAGAAAAGACTTTTGTGTTTTTCCCTGAGATTTCTGATTTTTATTGAAGCCTTCTGATCATTTAGGATATTGACAGAAGTTTTCTTCCCCATGAAAAATCTCTGATACAAACCTATAGGTTAAATTCTTAAAGGTCTTCTGACATTTATTATATTCATTGGTTTCATCCAACTCAACAGACAGTTGGCTAAGCTATATGCATTTAACCAACAGGCCAAAATCTTTAAGAGCTCAACAGAATAAAAACTTAATTCTGGCTTAAAAAAACAACAAAAAAACCAAAAAAAAACAATTGGTGAAGATCTGTCAGTGGAGAATTGTTTCACTCAGTTATTGACTCTAGCTTCTTTCACCTTGTGCTCTGCCATATTTAATACACAGCACCCAAGTCTGCCATGGAAATCTCTCAATTCCAGTATAACACAGGATAGGAAGAATGTAAGGTGACTTATTAAGGCCATTTATTACTTAAATGTAATAGCATCATACTCCATGACCAGCCCCACCCAGACGAAGGAAAAATTGGGAAACTAAGACAAGCTATGTGCTCAGTGGAAAAGGAAACAGTTAAGGAAAATAATTTGCCAGTCTATGTGACTTGAGCTTTTCTACTGTGTTAACTAATAAGGTGTAACTTCCCTTAGCACATCCCAAATTCATTACATGCAAGGGTTTTCTCTCTGGAGTGCATTCTGGTGTGATGTACTCTAAGAGCTGCCTTACGGACAAAGGTTTTTCCACACTCATAACATTTGTAGGGTCTCTCACCTGTGTGAATTCTCAGGTGTACTCCAAGAGTTGAATTTTGGGCAAAAGCTTTCCCACATTCATTACACTCATAGGGTTTCTCTCCTGTGTGAATTCTCTGATGTGCACTAAGGTGTGACTTCTGAGAGAAAGTTTTCCCACATTCATTACATTTGTAGGATTTTACACCTGTGTGAATTCTCTGATGTACTCTGAGGGTTGAATTATGGGCAAAAGGTTTCCCACATATGTTACATTCGTAAGGTTTCTCCCCTGTGTGAATTCTCTGATGTGCACTAACATACGACTTCTGGGAGAAAGTTTTCCCACATTCATTACATTCATAGGGTTTCTCCCCTGTGCGAGTCCTCAGATGTGCTCTGAGGTGTGATGTCTTGGAGAAAGTTTTCCCACATTCACTACATTCATAGGGTTTCTCCCCTTTGTGAATTCTCTGATGTGCCCTGAGGGCTGAATTATCTGCAAAAGTTTTCCCACATTCCTTACATTCATAAGGTTTCTCCCCTGTGTGAGTTCTCTGATGTGCATAGAGGTGTGTCCTCTGGGAGAAAGTTTTCCCACATTCATTACATTCATAGGGTTTTTCTCCTGTGTGAATTCTTTGATGGATAATGAGGGCTGCCTTATAGACAAAAGTTTTCCCACATTCATTACATTCATAAGGTTTTTCCCCTTTGTGAATTCTCTCATGTCCACTGAGGTATGATTTCTGGGAGAAGGTTTTCCCACATTCACTACATCCATAGGGTTTCTCACCTGTGTGAATCCTCTGATGTGTACTAAGACGTGTCTTCTGGGAAAAAGTTTTCCCACATTCATTACATTTGTAGAGTTTCACCCCAGTGTGAATTTTCTGATGTGCTCTGAGAGTGGAATTATGGGCAAAAGTTTTCTCACAGTCATTACACTCATATGGTTTCTCACCTGTGTGAATTCTCTGATGTGCTCTGCGGGCTGAATTATGGGCAAAAGACCTCTCACAGTCATTACATTTGAAGGGTTTCTCCTCTGTGTGAATTCTCTGATGTGCTCTGAGGGTTGAATTATCAGCGAGAGTTTTCCCACATTCATTACATTCATACAGATTGACTCCCATATGAGTTCCAGGATAATGAATAGGATGTGAATATGAACAAAAGGATTTCCCACATTCCTCACATTCATAAGGTTTCTCCCCTGGGTGGGTCCTCTGATGCTGAATGAGGTGTGCTTTCTGGTAAAATGATTTCCTGCATTCAGTAAGTTCAAATGACTTCTCTCCTGTGTCACACTGCTGATGTACACTGAGGGCTGAGTTCTGATAGGAGGATTTCTCGTATTTATCACATTGATAGAATTTCTCTTCTTTGTGAATTCTCTGATGTACTGTAAAGTCTAACTTCTGGTAGATGGTGTTTGTAAATCCATTATAAACACAGAATGTATCTCTAGTTTGTGTCTTCTGATGTACTATACGGCCTGAGCTCTGGCTCAAGTTTTCTTCACACTTACTGCTTTCAAAGGCACCTTGTCCTGTAACAGTTCTCTGAGGCTGAGTGAGGGGTGAATTCCCACTGAAGTTATTCCCACTTTCATTACATTCATAGTGTGCCAAAGCCATGTGAACCTCATTGTATTCACAGGATTTACCACATTCATTAAGATCAAAGCATTTCTTCCTTGTGCCAGTTCTCATGTGGTTAAAAAGAGCTGCTTTATCACAATTTCCCCTAAATTCATTATCCTTACAGGATTCCTCTCCTTTTACTAAACTCTTAGCTGTAACACAGATGGTCTTATCATGTAAAACTTTTCCATATTCATTACATTCAAAAGATTGCTCCAGAGTTTGAAATTTATGATGATCTTTCACATAACTGAGAGCTTTCATGTTTTCATTATATTTGTAACACTGCTCTCCAGTATGAGTTTTCTCACGCTGAATATCCAGCTGCAACTTCTCACATACATTTATGTAGTCAGTCTTGTTTCGTGAATAATTCCTATCACTAAGAATTAATTCAGAAACAACCGGCAAATTCATTCTACATGAGTCACGTTTAGAGGGCATTTTTCCTGAAAAATCTGGAGTTATACTGAAATAAAATGGTTTCTCTAAAGCTTTCTGCTCTTCTTTACTCAATATTTTGTTATCAGTGAATACTACTTGCCACAGAGGTTTCTCTTGTCTTTCCTGGTTCTCCTCAATATGGACATCAACTCTGTAACATCCTAAAATGAGAAAAATTGAAAACATCTTATGAACCCTACATTTCTTATGGAGAGAAGCTTAAGGTCATATGTTTTGTTATTTATTGTATCTATTGTTTCTAGTCATATTTCCAAAGATTAATAATTCACACACAGAGAAAGACAGACACATACACTCAATCTCTCCTCATCCATGTTATTAAAAAAAAAAAAAAGATATTATTTCCAGTGCTGGCCGAGATGGAGAAGCCTCATTTTTCCAAGGTCCACCCTCTTACAATTAAAATTTCCTGGACAAAAAAAACCATACAAACAAATGAAGATGCTACAAAATGGAATAGAGGTGAACTTTAGAAATGACATGGCAAAGAATTCCAAGGCTTTTCTTTCTGCTTCCCATATATCTTATACGGGGTACTGTTGAGCTGGAGGAGCCTAAAAAACAAAGTCAACAATAGGGGGAGATAATAAGAGCTTCAAGAAAAATCTGTTCCTTCTTAGTCAAACATTTGAGAAAAAGGTGGTCCCACAGAACAGAAAACTTTTTGACAATATTCACCCTACTCAAGCCAAAAAGAAAAAGGAACACTCTTCCCTATGGTCCTGCTACAGATATAAAGAATTCGCACACTCTTCCAAAATTTTCCTCTATGAGCCAAACCAACAGCTCACAAGAAAGATCATGAATTCTGAGAAAGTTCAATTCATGGGACACTCTATGAGATGGTAACAGCAACCACCACCAAAATTCTGCCTGGAACCATATTCCTACTGACTCTATGGACTCTGCAAAGTCAAGAGTAACAAATCTGTTGTTTTAGGGCACTGGTAGCAACTCATAGCAGGTACAGGAAGGAGAAGGAAAATAAAGAACAGAAACAAGAAAAGAAGCAGGAATATATGGTAGGCCCAATATTACAGCTAGAAAAGATGAAGTAGGACTTGTAAAAATTACACCCTCAAACTCAAGAATACAGCATAGTTAAAAACAGGTGAATTCACATTATTCTCAAATGTGTATGAAGCATTCATGAAGATAGACCATATTCTGGACTGTAAGACAAATATTCACAAATATAAAAGAAGTCACATAAAGTATAATCTCAAGCCACAGAGAAATCATCATACTAGAAATCAGTAACACAAAATTATCTGGAGAAATACAAAATATTTGTAAATTAATAAGCTTCTAATTAACCCATAGGTCAAAGAGGAAGTCTCACAGAAAATTAAAGTATTTTACATATATGAAACAAAACTGTCAAAAACATATAGAAATTTGTGGGATGCAGCTAAAGTAGTACTCAGAAATAAATTTATAGCTTAAAATTTTTATATGAGAAAAGAAAGCCCTCCAACAATTACCTAAGCTTCTACTTTAAGAAACTAGACAAAGAGAAGGTGAATCTAAAGAAAGCAAAATAAAAAATAATAAAGATTAGAGAAAACAATAAAATGGAAAACAACAGAGAAAAATCAATCAAACCAAAGCTTATTTATTTAAACATTTTTTTAATGATAAAAACCAAAAGAAGAAAAAAGACATACATTATCAACATCAGAAAGAATGCAGAAGGGGATATAACTACTGACACAACAGACATTAAAGAGATAATAAAAGATTAAGAGAAACTCTATGCCTATAAATTTGACAACTTACATGAAATAGACAAACGTCTTGAAAAATAAAACAAAACAACTAAACTCACTCAAGAAAAATGAAATAACCCAAATAGATCAGTAATTAAGAAACTGAATATGTGGTCAAAAAAACATATACTCCAAGAAACAGCTCTAGGATCAGACTGTTTTAACTAGTGAGTACCACCAAACATTTAAATAAGAAATAATACCAATTTTATATAGTCTCTTCTAGAAAATACAAGATGAGGGAATGTTTCCTAAATATTTTATGAGGCCTGTACTATCCTCACAGCAAAACCAAACAAAATAATTCAAGAAAAGAAACCTAGTGACCAATATATCCCTCATGACATCAGTGCAAAAGTCCTGAAAAAAAAAAAGTAGCCAAAAGAACAGAGCAATATATAAAAATAATAAATCAGGATCAAGTGGAATTCATCCCAAGAATGCAAACTGTTGGCATGTTTTTAAAAAAAACCAATCAATATAATCCATTATATTAATCATCTATGGAATTAAAACTACAAAATCACAGAAATTCTGGCAAAAAAAATTCACAATATTCAAAATCCATTCATTAACCTAATAAAGGGAATCTATAAAAAGCCTGCAGCTAACATCATACTTAAGAGTGAGAGAGTGAACACTTTAACCCTAAGATTGGAAAAAGACAAGGGTGTTTACTCTTAGCACTTCTACTCAAACAACGTAAAAAGGCAAGAATAAAAATGAAGATACTGAGTAAGTCTACACAGAAAAATCACATGAAGATCTTTAAAAAACCTCCTTGAACTAATAAGTTTTGCAAGAGCAAAATATAAAGCCAATATACAAAATCCAATCACATACAAACAATGGTCAATTAAAATGTGAAACCAGGTAAATAACACGATTTACCATAGCACTAAAAAAACAAAACCCCAAAAAACTTGGTATCTGTATGCTGCAAAAACAGTGATAAAAGAATTCAAAGAAATCCTAAATAAATCCTAAATAAATATGTTGTCTATCAATTGGAAGACTCTATATTGTTAAGATGCCATCTTCATTCTTCCTTAAAACTTTAAGCATCTTATATCTGTTTTATATATATATGTACTATATATATGCATACATATGTATGCATATGCACACATATGTATATGTAAATATACATATTTAACTGTACTTAGTGGATGGAGTAGGAAAGAATACATTTACTCCATCTTTTCCCTGGTTAATGCTTTTCATATCTTATTAATGCCTTCCTTAAACAGAGTCATAAACATGTTTTCCGTATCATATAGAATATTTTTAGTTTTGCTTTGATAATCAGGTTTTTAAGCCACCTTAATGCAGTTTTTTGATTTGATCCATAAGGTTACCTTGGGATTCTTTCTCCACTTTTCTGTGGGGTAGTGCCACCTGTCAAAGACCAGCTGTCTATAAAGTACATTTTTTTTCTTGAGCTTTCTCTTCTGTTTCACTAATTTATTAAACTATCCCACTCTCGGCTCCATAATACTTAACTACCCTGAGATTTACATAAAGCCTTGATATCTGGAAGAGCAAGTCCTTCCCACATCACTCTTCATTATGAATGGGATTTAGTTTGATATTGCATTAAATCTTTACTAATATACCCCCACTTGAACTTATTCAGTTCTTCCTTTCCTTTGTCCTTGTTAGGGTTAGCTAAAGTTTAATCTATTTGATTTTTATTCTAAGAACCATTCTATAATTTGTTTTCCAGTTTATTAATTTTTTTGGCTGCGTCGTTTTTTTGTTTTTTTTTGCTTAGTTGTGGTATGCGGGATCTTCGTTGTGGCATGTGGGATCTTTCGTTGCAGCATGCGGGATATTTCGTTGCAGCATGCGGGATCTTTGGTTGCAGCATGTGGGATCTTTCATTGTGGCATGCGGGTTCTCTCTCTAGTTGTGGCATGTGGGCTCCAGAGCACATGGGCTCTGTAGTTAGTGGCATTCAGGCTCTCTAGTTGAGGTGCATGGCCTCAGTAGTTGTAGCGCATGGGCTTAGTTGCCCCATGGCATGTGGGATCTTAGTTCCCCAACCAGGGATTGAACCTGTGTCCCCTGCATTGTAAAGCAGATTCTTTACCACTGGACCACCAGGGAAGTCCCCAGTTTATTAACTTTTAACTTCACTTTTAAGTTCTGTGTTCATTAGTATATTTTTGTTATTGTTTTTGCTTAATTTATTAACATAAATATGAAACTAAAAATTTACCTGTTAACTATTTAGCTATCTCATAAGGTTTCTAACATGTAACATTTATTATTATTTTATAAATGTCATGCAGTTTTGGATTTGGTTTTCTTTTATGTACTATTATTTAAACAGATAATTTTTTAAATTTTCACATCCAAAGAATTTTTTTTTTACTCATTTTATCAATTTCTAGATTTATCAAACTATGTAGAGAAAATATTACCTGTGGTGCTTTTAACTTGTTGGATTTATTGGTATTTTCTTTTTAGACTAACTATATTTTCACTGTCTTACGATTATATTCTATGGGAAGCTGAAAGGCTTGTTATTTGATTTCAGCATACACATACACAAATGTTTCATTTTAATAAAATTATCATTTATATCTTCTATAGGCATACATTTTAATGTCCACAGTATCTATTATTTAATGAGATATAATATCCTACTCCTAGTGAATTTTAAGTTCTTAGAACTCCATTATTTTGTGTTGGTTTTTTTTTTTTTTTTTTTTTTTTTTGGTACGCAGGCCTCTCACTGCTGTGGCCTCTCCTGCTGTGGAGCACAGGCTCCGGACATGCAGACTCAGTGGCCATGGCTCACGGGCCTAGCTGCTCCGTGGCATGTGGGATCCTCCTGGACCAGGGCACGAACCCGCGTCCCCCTCATCAGCAGGCAGACTCTCAACCACTGCGCCACCAGGGAAGCCCCCTATTTTGTGTTTTATGATCACTGATATAGTATTCTTTGGTGCAGTCACTCCAATGCTTAAAGGTTTATTTTAACCTGTGCTCCTGAGCTAGAGGACTTTCTTTTAAGTTAATGTATTTATTGCCTAAATTCAAACTTGAATAACAGAATATGAAACTCTGAATTATTTTTATTGACTGAATAACTTTATCATTTTTTTATTACAATCTTTCTAAGATACTTATTTAGGGACAACTTTTTTAGCCAATCAGTATGATCCAATCATTTACATTTAGTGACTGAGAGATATTCTTCATCTAAATAATGTCAATCTTTATGTTATGGCTATTTAAATGGCTTCACAATGGATAAAGAAGATGTGGTACATATATACATGGAATATTACTCAGCCATAAAAAGAAATGAAATTGAGTTACCTATAGTGAGGTGGATGGACCTAAAGTCTGTCATACAGAGTGAAGTAAGTCAGAAAGAGAAAAACAAATACTGTATGCTAACACATATGTATGGAATCTTAAAAAAAAAAAAAAGGTTCTCATGAACCTAGGGGCAGGACAGGAATAAAAACGCAGACATAGAGATTGGACTTGAGGACACGGGGAGGGGGAAGGGTAAGCTGGGATGAAGTGAGAGAGTAGCCTTGACATATATGCACTACCAAATATAAAACAGATAGCTAGTGGGAAGCAGCTGCATTGCACAGGGATATCAACTCAGTGCTTTGTGACCACCTAGAGGGGTGGGATAGGGAGGGTGGGAGGGAGATGCAAGAGGGAGGGGATATGAGGATATATGTATACATATAACTGATTCACTTTGTTGTACAGCAGAAACTAACACAACATTGTAAGGAAAATATACTCCAATAAAGGTGTTAAAAAAAATGGCTTCACAAACTTTCAATAAATAAACTTTCAATAAATACACTTAAGGTGATTTTATTTTTTTACTCCAGGAATTATTTTGAAATTATAACTTTTGAAATTCCTGGAATTGTTTATTAGTTTAGACAAAGGTCATTAAGCACATGAAAAGATGCTTGACAGCATTAGTGATCACGGAAATTGTAATGGACAATTTGTTCAATATGTTGAAGCCCTAACCCCAATGTAACTGTTTTTGGAGATAAGGCCTTTAGGGAGGTAATTAAGGTTAAATGAGTTCATAAGGGTGGGGTCCTAATTCTATAGGACTGGTGTTCTTATAAGAAAAGGAAGAGACATCAGAGCTCTCTCTCTCTCCATGCATGCACAGAGGAAAGGCCATGTGAGGACACAGTGAGAAGGTCATCTGCAAGCCAGGAAGAGAGACCTCACAAAAAAAATCAACCCTATTGCCACCTTGAGCTTGTACTTCCAGTCTCCAGAACAGTGAGAAATAAATTTCTTTTGTTTAAGCTATGGTATTTTGTCATGCCAGCCCAGCTAATACAGAATTGCAAATCAAAACCTTAATAACATACCACTTCACATCCATTGGGATGGCTAGAACAAAAATAAGTGTTGGTGGAGATGTGGAGAAATTAGAACCCTCACATGCTATCACCAGGAATGTAAAATGGTGCAGCCACTTTAGAAAAGTCTGGTAGTTCTTCAGAGTTACCATATAACCCAGCAATTCTACTCCTAGGTATAAACTCAAGAGAAATAAAAACATATGCCCATGAAAACACTTGTTAATAAATGTTTATATCAGCATTACTCAATAATAGCAAAAAGGCAGGATGCCAAATGTCCACTGACTGATGAATGGACAAACAGATGTGGTATATCCTGACAATGTTATATTATGTTATATTATTTTGCCATAAAAAGGATGAAGTACTGATACAAGCTACAACATGAACCTTGTAATGCTAAGTGAAAGAAACCAATCACAAAAGACCATATAATGTGTGATTCCATTTATATGAAATGTCCAGAATAAACAAATCTACAGACAGAAAGTAGATTAGTGGTTGCTAGGGCTGAAGGGGACAGGGAGAGAGGGAGGTCATAGCTGGAGGGTACAGGGTTTCCTTTTGAGGTGAAGAAAACTGACTGTGGTGATGGGGTTTTTTTTCTTTTCTTCTTTTTTTTTTTTTTTTTGCGGTACACAGGCCTTTCACTGTTGTGGCCTCTCCCGTTGTAGAGCACAGGCTCCGGACGCGCAGGCTCAGCGGCCATGGCTCAAGGGCCTAGCCACTCCGCAGCATGTGGGATTTTCCCGGACCGGCGCACAAACCTGTGTCCCCTGCATCGGCAGGCAGACTCTAAAACACTGAGCCACCAGGGAAGCCCTGTGGTGATGTTTATACATATCTGTGAGTCTATTAAGAGCCAGTGAATTGTACACTTTAAATGGGTGGATTGTGTGATATATACAATTGTATATTGAACTGTATCTTAGTAAAGCTGTTTAAAAGAAAAAAAAATAAACTTTCAAAAGTGGTCCCTTCTAAAGTCTAACTACCCCAGGTACTTCCTTGTGTCAACGCTCACTCACCTGGGTACTTCTGGTTTAGGAATTCTTCCTCTGAGGGCCAGGGCTCTTCACCGTGCTCCAACTTGAAGATCACCTGGGGTTTGATAATGCAGTACCCTGCAAATGTAACAACTAAAGCTATATATAGACCAGAACCATGAGCATTTCTGAAGGTGAAGCAAAATGAATGTGCTCATTTGAAGTTTTCAAAGGAAAAGTAATGACACACTGTTTCTGTTTCTGTAAAGGTCTCAGTTACCTTAAACTTCTTAATCAAAGCCTGAACAACAATCTCTATAAATGGTTCATGTGTTTTGATAATTTAAAAAAAAAGAAAATACTCCAGAGGGAGTCACATGGTAAGGTCTGCTCACCCAATGAGACGAGGTGACTGTAGTTCTCCAGCATCACATCTTTGTACAGGGTCCTCAGAGCAGGGCCTACATACTGCCATTCATCCTGGGTGAACTCCACAGTCACATCTTCGAATGACACTGATCCCTGTAACAACAAATTTTATTCAAAAGTTCAAAATTAGTTGAAAATTATTATTTCTCCTGTTTACTTTTAAGGCTTTAAACCAAATCATTATAAAGAATGCTTATTTTTGACCTAGTATGTCTCTAAGTTTGGAGTTACCCAATTAGTTAAAAAGATTTTAGCAATTCATTTTTAACTTAATTCATTTATATATATTTAGGAATTACAGATTTTTTTAAGATTAAAAAAATTCAATATAAAGAGACTTCTTACAACTCTTCTTCTATATCCCAAGGGATTATACTGGGTATTCTGGATAATTCTAGAATGTCCATCTCTCTTTGGACATCATCACCGTAAATAATGGGAGACATGTTAGAGATATACGTAAGTTGTAGAGATATTAGACATGATGGAATTTATGTATAAATAAATGTATAGAACTCATGAAGAGTGAAGAACAACATACCAAGGATGGGTGTGAAAGAACACTATCAACACTGAAGTAACAGATATAGGAATAGGGATATAATCAGACAGCAGAAACAGCAACCAATCTGATAACTACTTTCTTGTGTAGCTACCCATCTAGCAGTATGAGCAGCTTCCTTAATGCTGGTTCCAAACACTGATATTTGGGAAATAAAGGGAAAGAAATGTGTTAGAAGTTTTAGTGAGATAGATCTGTTCATGTTGCTACTAAAGGGTCTGTGAAACATAAAGCTGGAACAGTCCCTTAAGCGAGTATACACATAGTTTTAGAACACAGAAGGGAGGTCAAGGATGAAGACAAGCTTTAAGGAACTACTAGCAATTTAGGTGGTAACTGAAGTTATCCGAGGCAATCAGACAACAACTTGAGCACATACAGACTGAGGAAAGAAAAGTATCAAAAAACAGCGTTTGAGAAACCATGAATATTAAAGAGGCTGGCAGAAAAAGTAGAGGTCACAAAGCCAGAGGAGAAGTTTTCTGGAAAGTAATTATGAGAGAACAGTCTTAGAAACTGAGAAAAGGGAAAGTTTCCACAGCAAAAGACTTCAAAGAGGCTGGCAGGAGGGAGAAATAGTAAGTAGCTAATTCGATGGGTATGAAGTTTCAGTTATACAAAATCATTAAGTTCTAGAGATCTGCTGTACAACGTTGTGCCTATAGTTAACAATACTGTATTGTACATGTAAAGTGTATTAAAAGGGTTGATCTCGGGCTTCCCTGGAGGTGCAGTGGTTGAGAGTCCGCCTGCTGATGCAGGGGACACGGGTTTGTGCCCCGGTCCGGGAGGATCCCACATACTGCGGGGCGGCTGGGCCTGTGGGCCATGGCCGCTGAGCCTGCGTGTCCGGAGCCTGTGCTCCACAACAGGAGAGGCCATGGCAGTGAGAGGCCCACATATCGCAAAAAAAAGTGTCGATCTCATGTTAAGTGTTCTTATCACAATTAAAAATAGGAAGAGGGCTTCCCTGGTGGCGCAGTGGTTGAGAGTCTGCCTGCCGATGCAGGGGACACGGGTTTGTGCCCCGGTCCGGGAGGATCCCACATGCCGCAGAGTGGCTAGGCCCGTAAGCCATAGCCGCTGAGCCTGCACGTCCCGAGGCTGTGCTCCACAGCGGGAGAGGCCACAGCAGTGAGGGGCCCGCGTACTGCAAAAAAAAAAAAAAAAAAAAAAAAAAAAAGGAAGAAACAGAACTAGATTAAGAGGTAAAAGGACAGAAATAGCCTTTCCCCAGTGTTATTTATGCAATTATTTGTTCATTCATGTCTTCAGTGATACTGAGTAGATACCTCCTGTGTGAAGCTCAATGTTAGCAGTTGGTAACTATCAATAAAATAAATGAATAAAAGAACAGAAACACTTCTCATAAATTTTTTTTAATCTAAAAGAAAAATAAAGACAAGTTAACTGTATTTCCCAAAATGAAAAAAATTAATGAGAAAAGTGTCACTGTCTTCATTTTTGCCAATCTCTTTAATATCTGGCTTAATAAAACTCAGCTGAATTAAAAAAAATAAACTAACAAGTGACAAAAGTGAAAATGATGAAGTGGGATCCAAGAAAATTTTCTCCTCCATAAAAGCAATGAAAAAAATGGCAAAAATTGTAGAAGTTAATAAAGGCAATCTACGGATCATTTATACAAGGGGAAAAAAAGGCTGAAGCACACTAAGAAAGTGATATTGTGTCCTTCTAACTTACCCTGTTTCCATTCCTCTCTCGCCATCTCTGAAGTAGTTTAAGAACCAACAGTCTGCAATCACAGTTAAAATTAGCAGCCTGGCAACCACAGGAGCAGCAGAACTGGGTTGGAGTTCTGTCAAAGCCTCACTCCAAGAAAACTCATTACTTGCTTCTGTTTGGAGGTTCCCTGAAAGACCTCACTTGCAAGTATGTCTTTATTTGAGCTAACTCAGAGCTCACATAGTATGAAAAGTCTTATCTCAGAGGCATTTGTCAAAAACATTTAAAGGCATTTGTTTAACTTAGTGGCTACCTGAGGCAGTGTTTAACAGTTGGGGCAACCAATGGCCTAATCAAAAAGCTTAAAAGGAAAAGCTGAGGAATGAGATGTCTATAAAGGTTCTGAAAAACTCCCATATATTCCTGAGAATCTAAAAGGGCACATACATGCACAGAACTGTGCATATGCCCAGGGCTATGAGCATGCTCCAGAAAGATGTGAGAAGGCCCTAAGCTCTCACCTCTAGGTAATCTTGAGGTTTGGTGTAAGAAGGAAGTGAAGGCTGATACAGAGTTGTAAACTGCCTGTCTGACTGTTGAAAGAATGCCCCGACATGCACAGAGCCCCTTAGCAAAAACTGGGAGACCTCCTGGTTCCAGGCATTTAAGGAATTTCTATAGAGACTTCAACAGCCACAGATGACAAGAAATACAGGCTGTACATAATTAGCTCACAAAAGTCACTAAGCAAATACATTTCAACAATGACCACAATGGAGGGGAGAAACTCAGATTCCTGAGGTTGCTATTTTATTTAAAATGTCCAATTATCAATACAATAAGAAAGTAAGACACATATGCAGGAAAAAGTGTAATCAATAGAAACTGCTCCTGAGGAAGATGTTAGACTTACTAGGCAATGACTTTAAATTAGCTATTTTAAATATGGCCAAAGACCTAGTAGATGAAATAATGTCTAAGGACCAAAGGAAAAGTATGTGAACTATATTTCACTACTTAAAGAATATCAGTAAAGAAACAGAAATGATAAATAAAAAAGACTAAACAGAAGCTGAAGAGTTGAAAAGTATAAAAACTGAAACAAAACTTTCACTAGAAGGGTTCAACAGAAGATCTGAGCAGGTGAAAGTAAGTATGAACAAACTGGACAATATGCCTATTGAAATTCTACAATATGAGAAACAAAGATAAAATAATGACAAAAAATAAACTATAGGGTAGCATCAAGTTTACAAACATATGCATAATGAGAGTCCCAGACAGAGAGGAGAGAAAAAGTCTGAAAGAACACTTGAAAAAAATATTGACCAAGAAGTCTCCAAATCTGATGAAAAACAATAATCTACATATCCAAGACACTCAACAAACTCCAAGTAGTATAAACCTCGAGTAAGAGATCAACACCTGGACACAGGATAACCAAACTGTCAAAAAGACAAGAACTCAATATTGAAAAGCATTAAGAAAGAAGTGACTCATCATGTACAAGAGTAGTAAAAGCTGATTACTAATCAGAATCCATGGATGACAGAAGGCAGTGGTATGACATATTCAAAGTGCTGAAAGAAAAAGGCTGTCAACCAAGAATTCCACACCCAGCAAAAATGGAAAAATTAAAACTTTCCTAGATAAGAAAAACCAGAATTTGTCACAGGCAAAACTGCCCTATAAGAAATAATACAGGAAGTCATTGAGCAAATCTGTAGAGACAGAAAGTAAGTTAGTGGTTGCTTGTGGCCTGGGGGTAAGGGGTGTAATGGGATTACAGGAGGGGGATAGTTGTATGTAGTGCATATACACTACAGTGTATACAGTTGCTTTTTAAGGTAATGGAAATGTCCTAAAACTGATTGTGATGATGTGTGCACACATCTGTGAGCATACTAAAAAAATGAGTTTTTTTATACTTTAAATAAGGGTGAATTGTATGGTATATGATTTGAATCTCAATTAAGCTGTTTTTTTAAAAAAATGAGAGAGGATGAAATCATTCTGAGACAAAAGAGAAGATTAAAGGGCCAAGCATGGAGATGGGATAAGCCATGTAAAAGGATATGGAAAACAAGATGACTCCATGAAGACATTAGCAGGGGAAGGAAAGAGCCAGTGGAGGGTGTCAGACACTAACAGAGAAACTTTCCAGAATGATAATGTGAGAAGTAGAGGCAAGCACTACAGAGAAGTCCAAGGGAAATGATTAGACAAAACTCAATGGATTTGATTATAATCAAGTCTCTGGTCACTGGAGATCACAGGCAAGTGGTGAGAGGAACCAAGGCATCATGCAGAGAATTGAAGTGTGAATGGGAAGCGCTGAAACATTTGAAAGAGAACAGAATTTTAAACTGTCTGCTGAAAAATCTGAATATCATGGGTACTTGAGATATTTATGGAGAGTAAATTTAAGAATATTCAGTTGATTCATCAGAAAAATGTCTAATTCAACCCATGTCGGAGTTTCTGAAAAACAGTACTAACCAAGTTCTCATTTAGCTTTATGCCTTCTACTTTTATTGAAGAACGTGTGGAGGCAACATTCTAGCAATCCTAGGGTTATCATCAGGAAGCTGTTAACTAAATCACCTATTTGAAGAATAACAAAGATATGTTTTTATCTTCGACTGTCTTTACTTTCTATGAGGAATCAGTTGGCTTTATCTTCCCACCAATGTGAACCTTTAAAGAAGTGTTGTCTGTCTGACACTCTGACATGGCTACCAAAAACCTCAGAAATAAATTTGGAGCTCCAATTTGATAAATTTGTAATATCAGAGGATCTGCTTATATCCACATACCACCTTTCCTCTTTGCTTTGTTATGCATCTGTACAGTTGACCCTTGAACAACTCGGTGGTTAGGGGCACCTGCACTCTGCAGAGTTGAAAATCTGCATATAACTTATAGTCAGTCCTCTGTATACACGGTTTCTCCTTATCTGCGGTTCCACCTCCCTGGATTCAACCAACTACAGATCATGTAGTACTATAGTTTATCGTTAAAAACAAAAAGAAACAATCCACATATAACTGGATCTGGGCAGTTCAAATCTGTGTTGTTCAAGGGTCAACTGTATTTCTACATGTTCCCTGAATACATCTGATTCATTTCTATTTCTACTTTTCCATGTTAATGTATAGACACTTAAACCCTTATAAAATCCACTGCAAAAGAAACAGGTTATTAAAACTGAACTCACCTGAGCTGTGTTCATTTTCTACTACTTCTGGAAAAATGTAAAGAACTGTGAAGGTTCAGCTGGGGAAGAGGAAAAAGAAACGGGGTCATGAAAAACCTACTCTGCCTTACAACTCCTATATTCATCTGCCTAACAATCTCATAACACCAGCTGGAGAAAAGGCTTCCCCATGGGAGAATGTTCCTTTCAACATTCTTGAGAAGGGACATGAAAGACCATACAAAGGTAGCACCACCTGAACATGTGCATCTCTGATACGATTATGTTGGTCTTAACCTTGCATTTTCACTGAGTAAGGTAAACTGCTTTTTATCAATGAATTAACAATTTATATTCCCTTCTAATAATAAACAACAATAAAAACAACAACAACAAAAGTAAAACAACAGAGGATTGGTTAAACAAATTCAGGTACACCAGGGGTGACATTCTCTACCTTCATTAAAAATAATGTTGTCAGGCTTCCCTGGTGGCACAGTGGTTGAGAGTCCGCCTGCCGATGCAGGGGACACAGGTTCGTGCCCCGGTCCGGGAGGGTCCCACATGCTGCGGAGCGGCTGGGCCCATGAGCCATGGCCGCTGAGCCTGCACGTCCGGAGCCTGTGCTCCACAACGGGAGAGGTCACAGCAGTAAGAGGCCCACGTACCGCAAAAAAAAAAAATAATAATAATGATAATAATGTTGTCAAAAAACTACTCAGGCTGGATTGTTAATCAAGTTCTTGTTGAGTTTACAACTTGAGTTAGAGCTGAAATAAAGATGGAATGCTCTATGCAAGAAATATGTTTTTTAATCCTTTGTTCTAAAATAGTTGCTATTTCTAAAAAAAAAGATATTTTGATAAGATGCTTATAGTACTTACCTGTGTAAGTAAATATCATTGTGCTTGGTTCTGCCCTGGTGACTCTACAAAAAACATTCATTTCAGTATTTTGGGGCTTCCAAAAGTGTCCAATATAGAAAACCCTTCTTCTACTACCATTTTATTATTCTCTATGTTCAAATACATAGAAAAAATTCTCTATGTTAACGTCCATCACCAAATGTGGCATCTAATGCTCATGGTGTGAGAGCAGCTCAGAATCTGAAAAGAGGGGAAAATGAAGGAAATGGGGTGCTGTTTAGGATTTCATCAACTCTGGCTGCTTATACCTTCCCTGGACATCATGTCCTTACCAGCCATCCAGTAAAGTACCTTTTCCTGTGTAGCTTGACAGTCACCCATACCTCTCAATCCCAGGTTACCACCTTCTGCAAGTTGGTCCACAAGTGTCCACTGTCACAGTCTGTGATGGCTTCTAGATGCAACAACATCATCAAGTCTGACTGACCAAATCTGACTCATGCTATACAGGGATCAAGAACTGCTTCTGGTGGAGCAACTCAGAACCCTCTCCTTTCTAGAACTTTTTGCCTCTGCTCTGAAGCTCTGTCAGAAGAGCTGTTCTGCCAAGTGGCATTTGTTCTTTCCTGTTTTAAAAGAGCTACTTTGCCCCAGAGGGGCCAGAGAAACAAATTCACTTTATTTGAAACCTTCACCTAACACTCAAAATCTCTTTGGGCATTCACTAGAAATGTACTATCTAGTATGGAGCCATTAGCTGCGTTCAACTACTCCACCCGAAGTGTGGCTAGTGACACAAGTCTAAATAATATTTTGGATGTACTTAATTAAATACACCAGTAAAATTAACTTCACCCTTTTAATTTTTACTGCTCATACTGAAAAAAATTTAATTACATTTGGTTTGCATTATCTTTCTACTGGCCAGCACTGCGTTACATTATCAGACTATTCTTTTGAGAATGGAAACAGCCTGGACAGTTCAGTAAGGTTCAAGGGCCTCACTCTGAGAATCCACAAATCCCAGTATATATTTCCCACATGGTGACATTCTGTCTGCATTCACTTCACAATCATGTCCCTGGGAATTTGAGGACAGGCTGCCAGGAGCTGCTCCGCAGGTTGCAATTCTGGGTCTGAGGCAGGGAGGATATCAGAAAGAGCAAGAGATAGGGAGTAAAATCTATTTGTATTTGCATCCTAACTCTCACCTACCAGCTTGTATCCTGGGCTATATCACTCCGCACACACTAAATTCCTTTCATTTTTAAAAAATGGCGTGTTTATAAAAACAAGTAGACTTGTTGTGAGGGTTAAACGAAATACCAAAGGGAACAAAGTGTCTTATGATAGCAGCTTACACAGTGATTATTACAATCACTTGACAAAATGTTTTGTAGATGACACCTTATTTAATTCTCAGAATAACTGCACAAGCTACTATTAGTAGCCTCCTGTTCATCGTGAATGTTATAAAGTTGCATTCTCCGCCCGCACCTGGCCGGCACCAAACACCTCCTCTAGACAAGGACTCAGCCTCACCTGCACTCCTGGAGCAGGCAGGGCCGGACCTGCCCGGGCTAGCGGGCTGGGGGAGGGGCGGGCCCGCCTAGAGGTTCCCGGGACTTCCCGCTCCCGTCCCCCGCACACAAGCCTACCGGACCCAGCAGGACCCCAAGCCGCGCGGAACCGGACCCCGTGCTCTCACCTCCAGTGGGCAGCCTTGGCTTCAGCACCGACCCAAAGACGGGAAGATGTTGCTCCTTTTAGGCCGGAGGGGTCGTTCGGCAGCAAGCGTGTCGGGACGTGCACATGCGCAGAGTGAGCTCTGAAAACCCATTCCCCGAGGCCTGAGATGTGGGCCCATAACATTCAAGACTACATTTCCCATAAGTCTTTGAGAGCGTAGGAAGTAATTTTTGAAGCATTTCCGCTTGGTTAGTAAACTGAAAGTCTTAACGTCTGGAGCTGATTCGTGGCGACTTTGCCCGAATTCGCAGTGGTATGGGTTAGACTTTAACTTTATGACATAACAACATATTGCAGTGTGGTGTTCCATCGGATCTTGGTTGGAAAAAAATAACGGTGCAATAGACAACAATTTGGGAAATATAAATATGGACTAGGTATAAGAAATATTAAGGAAAATTAACATTACTTTGGTTAGTGTGATAATATTTGGACGATGTAGGAAATTGCTCTCATTTTTTAAAGATACATACTGAAATATTTACAATTATGAAATCATGTATTTGTAATTTACTTTTGAAAAATTCATCAAAACAGTTTGAGGAAACAAATATGGCAAAAGGTTAAGAATCGTTAAATCTGTGTACATGATGCTCATTTTACTATTTCTATTATTCTGAATGTTTGAATTTCTTTTTAACATACCGTAAAAGACATGTGGCTAGGGCTGGGAACCTTGGGGAGGAGGGTTAGGGAGAATTTACTGCCCCTCCAGAAGTGTACCTTTTAAAATCAAGCTGCCAGGAGCACTGAAGTTACACACAACTATCTGTTATGAATACGACTGTGAAATAGAACAAATATTAGAAAATGGAGCCAGTATTAACATAAAAGAGTAAATTCTGTGATCAGCAGCAGGGAGGAGGAGGGAGTAAGCTAGTTGTTCAAAATTATACAAGTAATACTTGAAAGTATGTACAACCCAAAATGAGGAAATCATTATCAATTAATAATTGTGATCAATTACTAATCTGGCTTGTATAGTGGAAATTATGTTCAGCTTTATAAAACTGCCACTCTGTCTTCCAAAAGTGGGTGTATCATTTTGCATTCTCACCAGCAATGAATGAAACTTCTCTTGCTCCATATCCTCACCAGCAGTAGGTGTTGTCAGTGTTTTGGCTGTTGTACATTCTAATAGGAGTGTAGTGGTATATCATAATTTGCAATTCTGTAATAACATCTGATGCTAGGATTCTTTTTATATGCCTATTTGCCATATAAAAGTGGATCTTCCTTTGTGAAGATATTACATTTGAATAGTTATTTGTATATTTTACATAAAATTTCTTTAGTAGATCTGTCTTTTGCAAATATTTTCTCTCAGTCTGTGACTTGTCTTTCCATTCTCTCACAGAGCAGAAGTTTTTAACTTTGATGAATTCTAACGATTCATTCATGGTTTGTGCTTTTGATGTTATCCAAAATTTCATTGCCAAGCTCAGGGTTACCTAAACATTTTATTCTATGTTATCTTCTAAAAGTTTTATAGTTTTGCATTTTAGTTTTAAATTTATCATCCATTTTGAGTTAATATTTGTGAAAAGTATAAGGTCTGTGTCTACATTTATTTATTTTTGCACATGAATGTCTAATTGTTCTAGCACATTTGTTGAAAAGACTGTCTTTTCTTCATTGAATTGTCTTTGCTTCTTTGTCAAAGATTGGTTGATAATATTTGTGTGAATATATTTCTGGGCTCTCTATTCAGCTTTAATAATCTTTCTGTTGATTCTTTCTCCTGTATCACACTGGTTTGACCCTGTAGCTTCATAATAATTTTTGAAGTCAGGTATTGTCAGTTCTATGACTTTGTTCTTAAATATTCAGTTGGCTATTCTGGATCTTTTCCATTTCGATGTAAACTTTAGAATCAATTTTTTGGTGTCTACAACATAAGTTGCTGTGATTCTGACTGAAATTGAGTTGAAATTATTGATCAAGTTAGTTGGAACTGACTTCTTAACAATATTGAAACTTACAAGGGGACCTTCAAGGTGTCAGAGGAGTAAGACGTTTAGATCACCTTCCTCCCCATGAATACATCAAAAATACATCTAGATTTGGAACAACTTCTACAGAACACCTACTGCATGCTGGCAGACGACCTCAGACTTCCCAAAAGGCAGGAAAATCCCCACGTACCTAGGTAGGGCAAAAGAAAAAAGAAAAAACAGAGACAAAATAATAGAGACAGGACCTGCCCCTCTGGGAGGGAACTGTGAAGGAGGAAAAGTTTCCACACACTAGGAAGCCCCTTCACTGGCAGGGACAGGGATAGGGGGCAGGGGGAAAGCTTCAGAGCCATGGAGGAGAGTGCAGCAATAGGGGTGCAGAGGGCAAAGCAGAGATATTCCTGCACAGAGGATCAGTGCCAACCAGCATTCACCAGCCTGAGAGGCTTGTCTGCTCACCCACCGGGGGCGAGGGGGTGGCTGAGAGCTGAGGCTTGGGCTTTGGAGGTCAAACCCGAGGGAGAGGACTGGGGTTGGCTGCATGAACAGAACCTGAAGCGGGCTAGTGCACCACAGCTAGCCAGGAGGGAGTACGGGAAAAAGTCTAGACCTGCCTAAGGGGCAAGAGACCATTGTTTCAGGGTGCATGAGGAAAAGGGATTCCTTCCCTGTGTGCCCACAGAAGACAGAGCACTGCCTAAACGAGCTCCAGGGATGGGCACAAGCTGTGGCTATCAGCTTGGACCCCAGACACTGGCATGAAATGCTAACACTGCTGCTGCAGCCACCAAGAATCCTGTGTGCAAGCACAGGTCACTATCCACACCACCCTGGGTGGCTGTGCAGCACACCACTGCCAGGGCCCCATGATCCAGGGACAAGTACCCCAGGAGAACACACGGTGTGCCTCAGACTGTTGCAATGTCATGTTGGCCTCTGCCGCTGCAGGCTCACCCCACATTCTAATTATAACTACCGTACCCCTCCCCCCCCCAGCATGAATGACCCAGAGCCCCCTAATCAGCCTCTGCTTTAACCCCATCCTTTCTGGGTGGGAACAAATGCCTGAGGGCAACCTACATGCAGAGGTGGGACCAAAACCAAAGCTAAGCCCCAGGAGCTCTGCAAACAAGAGAAAAGGAAATGCCTCCATGCAGCCTCAGGAACAGCAGATTAAATCACCACAATCAACTTGATGTACCCTGCATCTATGGAATACCTGAATAGACAATGAATCATCCCAAAACTTAGGCAGTGGACTTTGGGAGCAACTGTAGACTTGGGGTTTGCTTTCTGTGACTGATTTGCTTCTGATTTTTAGGTTTCTCTTAGTATAGATTTTAGCACTTGTTATCTTTGGTGGATTTGTTTATTAGTTTGGTTGCTCTCTTCTCTTTTTCTTTCCTTTTTAAATTATTTTTTTATTTTAATAATTAAAAAAAAATTATTATTATTACTTTTTTTCTCCCTTTTTTTCTGAGCTGTGTGGCTGACAGGGTCTTGGTGCTCTGGCCTGATACTCTGAAGTGAGAGAGCTGAGTTCAGGACGTTAGACTACCAGAGACCTCCCAGCCCCACGTAATATCAATCAGCAAGAGCTCTCCCAGAGATCTCCATCTCAGTACTAAGACCCAGCTCCACCCAATGACCAGCAAGCCCCAGTGCTGGACGCCCCATGCCAAACAACTAGAAAGACAGGAACACAATTCCATCCATTAGCAGAGAGGCTTCCTAAAATCGTACTAAGTTCACAGACACCCCAAAACACACCATCAGACACGGCCCTGTGCATAAGAAAGAAAACATCCAGCCCCACTCACCAGAACACAGGCACCACTCCCCTCCACCAGGAAGCCTACGCAAGCAACTGAACTAACCTTATCCACTGGGGGCAGACACGAAAACAACGGGAAATGTGAACTTGCAGCCTGCAAAAAGGAACTCCCAAACACAGTAAGTTAAACAAAATGAGACGACAGAGAAATATGCAGCAGTTGAAGGAGCAAGTTAAAAACCCACCAGACCAAACAAATGAAGAGGAAATAGGCAGTTTACCTGAGAAAGAATTCAGAATGATTCGAGTAAATATGATCCAAAATCTTGGAAATAGAATGGAGAAAATACAAGAAACATTTAACAAGGACCCAGGAAAACTAAAGAGCAAACAATGATGAAAACACAAGAGCAAACAATGATGAAAACACATGGATGAAAACAATGATGAAAACACAATAAATGAACTTTAAAAGTCTCTAGAGAGAATCAATAGCAGAATAACTGAAGCAGAAGAACAGATAAGTGACCTGGAAGGTAAAATAGTGGAAATAAGTGCCGCAGAGCAGAATAAAGAAAAAAGAGTGAAAAGAATTGAGGACAGTCTCAGAGACCTCTGGGACAACATTAAACACACCAACATTCACATTATAGGGGTCCCAGAAGAAGAAGAGGAAAAGAAAGAAACTGAGAAAATATTTGAAGAGATTATAGTTGAAAACTTCCTTAATATAGGAAAGGAAATAGTCAATCAAGTCCAGGAAGTGCAGAGAGTCCCATACAGGATAAATTCAAGGAGAAACATGCCAAGACACATATTAATCAAACTATCAAAAATTAAATACAAAGAAAGCATATTAAAAGCAGCAAGGGAAAAACAACAAATAACATACAAGGGAATCCCCATAAGGTTAAGAGCTGATCTTTCAGCAGAAACTCTGCAAGTCAGAGGGAGTGGCAGGACATATTTAAAGCGATGAAAGGGAAAAACCTACAACCAAGATTACCCAGTAAGGATCACATTCAGATTCGATGGAGAAATTAAAACCTTTACAGACAAGCAAAAGCTAAGAGAAATCAGCACCACTGAACCAGCTTTACAACAAATGCTAAAGGAACTTTTCTAGGCAGGAAACACAAGAGAAGGAAATGACCTACAAAAACAAACCCAAAACAATTAAGAAAATGGTAATAGGAACATACATATCGATAATTACCTTAAATGTAAAAGGATTAAGTGCTCCAACCAAAAGACACAGGCTAACTGAAAAGATACAAAAACAACACCTGTATATATGCTGTCTACAAGAGACCCACTTCAGACCTATGGACACATACAGACTGAAACAGAG